TAGAGCCAGACCGGCTTGAAGACTTGTTTATAGATCATAAGTTTGTTTTGCTGAGAAAATTTAGATCTCCTTCCAATAAGCCAAGTTAACTTTTTGTAAGTGTTGCCAATTTATTCCAACCAGACTTTTTACAACTTTGAAAGAAAAAATTGCGGCTATATTATGAAATGTCTTACTAAAATGCAGAGTAAATAATGTAAATACCTAGTATGCATAATTGAGATGGTAACTTAGATCTAAAATGCTGTACGTGCTCAATCAATACAATCGATGTATTCTAAAGGAACATGTTGTTTGGAATATACTTTTTCGCAATTAAGAAGGTATTTTAAATTAAGAACGAAATTCACACATATATGAAAATAATATCAGTATACTATCTCTTTATTAAATACTTCGAATGTCTTTACAAGTCTGCGTCTTGCAAAATCAGTTTTGGTTAAAGTATATATTAAAATTAAATATTATGAAATAGAAGACCCCAAAAGATACTTACAATGTGTAATACGAGTGGTACATTATAACTATGAACCAACCGGGAATGATATCAATTTCCGTGAATAATATAATAGATTTCTGATTTGGTTAAACAATAATAAACAAGTTTTGGATAACTGATGTTTAAAGTTATATGTAATGCTGAAAAAAAAATTAAACGATGCTTATCACACCGACACATCTATTCCAACTTTCTTTCGGTCTCATACCAAGTTCGAAAAATCGAACAGTATTTGCAAGTTAAAACAGCTTACACTTTAAGTTTACAATGATTTTAACCACCTATAAATTGGGACTACCCAGAAGCCTGTTAACAACCGACACCATATAGCGCGTCAACACGATAACATATATCTGTAATATTTTTTCCTAGATCGACTATTTTAAAAAGAATCATATTGAGAAAAGTATAGTGTATGTTACAAAAAAAACTATGTTTCTTAATGCATATGTAAGCAAAATTTTTCTACTCTACCTGCTCTTAATTTAAAGATTAAGAATGGTTTCATGAATTCGATTTTTTGGTGTGTTTACTATGATAACGGCATATAATTATGACAGAACAGTATCAACCGGAAGTGTTGTGAGTAGGGGCTGAACCCTTAGACTTAATTGGAATAAGATATAATCTTGGAAATTTCAAATATTTTGTTTATTTTATTTATTTAGTATATCTTAAAATAAGAATAACCTAACTAACTAACGAAATAATCGCTATAGAGACATAACTTATAGTAATAAGTAATTTATTGTAGATGATTTGTAAAAATTATACTCTATAATCTATATAAGGGCTATCCAAAGTACGGCCCGCGGCTAATCGTGTTGCGGCGTGCGACATGTTTCCAAACTACCACAATTAGAAAAATCTTTATTGTATTTTAATATGGGTAGGTTTGTTTTATTTTTATGGTACCCCAAATAAATGAATTAAAATGTTTTAAATAATAATAATTATCCTTCATGTTAATTTACTGAATTGATTAAGGCTTTAGTATATATTTCATTGTACAACTTGTATCCACTGTCGTAAGTCATTATATGAAAAATAAGATATTTTTCGTAGTGGAACAACTAATATTAATTATATTGGTATTGATAGATTTGTCAAAGACAAATTAATGAAGAATTAATAAAACTAAATTTAAAATTATTGGCTTATTTTAATTTTTCTCCAACAAAATTATGAATGCATTATTTATTTCTGTGGCTCTCCAACCTATTCAGTGATTTGAATTAGTCCGCGATCTTATCTGCTCTGGATAGCCCTGTTCTATATTATTTAATATTACAATCCTATTCCTCCCATATTACTTTTATTTTATTATAAAGTGTAAATTAATAAAATTATTGATAAACGACTGTATTAAAATTTCTTTTCTATCTAATAGCGAGTCTACAAAAAAATATATTAAGTTTATCAGGTTCTATGTTCTGGCAGTATATTTAAAGTTGGCTATTAATTATATCACTTTTAGGAAACATGTTTTAAGCTAGATATTATTAGTTTTTTTTTTTAATTATGTTATTTAATACATCAAATTGTATGTTTGTCTATTTTTATAAACATACGCCTATACTTTTATTCTTAGGTATATTAAGTAATAGTATTGTATAGTCACATAGGGTATTCCGTATATGAAATCGGTATATAATAATGATAAAGGTGATTTCTACGTCCAAATAATGCAAAAATTGTGTGAAAAAAAGATAAATTTTTTTATTAAGCAATATGCAATGTATTAAATAAAAGTCTCTAAACTTTAGTATCACATTGGCACTACAACTCTTCAATTAGTTTATCCAGTTTGGGAGTCGATGTGGTGCATTTGGGTATCCCTATGCATACAACGTCTTGATCAATCCGAATAGGCTCGTCTTTACTCTTCTCTTTATTTTTATGACTCTGCTTTTTTTTAAAGTAGATAGTATACAGTTTTTAGTTGCTGTGTGTCGGAAGGCAATCCTTCCTACATATAGGACTTACTATTCTATTGAACGCATCATCATCTTGGACATAACTTCGATGTTTTAGTAAGGTTTCTAAATTTTAAAAGCCTTAACAGATTGCAATAGACTTTGCTGAATTTCAATAACAAAACCAATTACTTGACCAGTTTGAGATGTTTCTTTAGTTATGCACTTTTACGAAATAAAATATTAACACTATTTTAGTTCCATCTTCTGTCCTATTGTTATGCTCGTTCGAACACGAATGACTCAGGTACAAGTACGAGTGCTCTTTTTTAGCATGAATTAATTCCCTGGAAGTATTCCGTGCCGTTCACATTTTCTAATATGTGTTGTGGGCTTGTACTGCCACTTTTCTATTGCGGATGTTGACATCGTGCACTTGATTGAATCTTCGTTCGTACAAAATGAGTTATTTTTTATAGTTTTTTGACAAAAACTTTTCTAATTTTAGACGACATTCTTGCCATTCCTCTGAGTAGTTTAATATTCAAAATGGACTCTTCTTTACACACAATTGTTTCATTTCTTGAGTTAAAGAATCACCTTTCATTTAAATACCTCTTCAATACGTGTTGTCTATTATATTATATTTTAAATTATATGTACAGTCGAATCCCGATAATTCGAAATCGCAGGGGAAGAGCATTTTTTACGAATTAGAGGGGTTTTCGAATTATCGAGGTTTCTATTTGACGAGATCAAAAAAGAAGAATCACTACGACTTAACGAGAGGACCAAAATATATGGAAATTTTACGAATTAACGAGGGGACCAAAATATATGGAAATTTTACGAATTAACGAGGGGACCAAAATATATGGAAATTTTACAAATTAACGAGGGGACCAAAATATATGGAAATTTTACGAATTAACGATATTTTTTCCAAGGACCAGCAGTTTGTTACGAAATATTGAGGTTTTTTGTGAATTTATCGGGGTATGAATTATCGCGATTCGACTGTATAAGGATATGCATTGCTCTTATTTTTGTTATAAATGATATGTCTAAGAGATTTGTAAGTATTTATAATTATCTTATGTATTTCTTGTAATTTATTCTAAACTTATTGAATAAAAGCGAATTTTCATTTTAACCAAACAGGAAGATCTTCTGTACAATTTATTATTACCACCAATCAACACTTAAGCATATTAACTATGAAAGAAACATCATTTAAATTTTTTAATAGCAAAACTAGGAGAAACTCCAATGCGACGCATGCATTCTCTAGTGCACTTTAGATTCCAATTTATGTTTAAAGAACTGCAACAACAGGAAGAAAAATAGCAGCAATAAAATAGATTTTTCTTTGAGAAATAGAATCGTTGCACGTTGACTGCCACATTTGCCTATTTTTTAATCGTCGGTGCAACATTTCAATTATGCAATTAAAATTTGTGCGAAATATGTGCACATTTGAGTACGCAACATGTGGTCACCTTAATTTTAGCTACCAACAGCAACAGCAACAAAACGAAAACGAAAACGAAAACCAACAACTACAACCACTACAACAACAATACGTATCGCAGCTACAGCAAACAGGACAACAACATACGAGCGGCGACTGCAACAGTATTGACCGCAAAACGCATGCCAGCAGGTGGCGCATATGTTACAAATCGAAAAAGGTGTTGCCAATACGTTTAATTTTGAGGTAAATGAGTTTGCAATTATTTAGTGTTGAAACGTGTCGGCAGAGCTTGTGGAATAGTGTAGAATAGTGTGGAATAGTGTGGTATAGTGTGTGGGGTAGATTGGTATGCAAAGGTGAGAATGCAATTGTCTAACGCGTAACGCTGAAGGTATAACAGCAGGCCTGAATACGCTAACTGGGTTAGATGCAATTAAAATCAAATGCTCAAAAGCAAAATAAATAAAATGTTGTAAGTACATTTAAGAAAATGCAATAAAATACGCATTTAATCGTAGTGCCATAAAATATGTTGAATAAACTAATAATAACGCAACAAAACTGTTGCTAGTCGTTGTTAAAGTTAATTGCAGCGCGAAAAATACTACACCAACTGTGGTGAGAAAAATTTTTTTCTGTTGTTCTGTTGTTAAAATGGTTTCATTTAAACATAATTTTGTTTTGTTTTTTTTTGAAAATTTAATATTAAATTATGTCAATTTTAGTGTCAACCGTACCATATTTGTGTGAGCGTAAATTAAAAATTTAAATTGAAACAAAAAAAAAGTTTTCTTTATAATAAAGTTGTGTGTAAATAAATATAATATCAATGTTAATATACAACCATCAAACTGTCAAAATGACAAATAAAAATTTATCAACATCATCAACATCAACAAATCCAAATCCAACTTCTACTTCAACATCAACGTCAACATCAACACTACCAACAACAATAATTACTTCAACTTCAATTATACGCCGCCAAACCACATATAAGCGAAAACAATGCAAACGCTTACAAAACGCAGGCATAAATTTTAGTTTATTACGCCTATTTGTGTTTCTAGTCTGTGGTCTGCAGCAACTGCAACATTTGAATTTCGTCAACATGTTGACTACGACAGATACACTCAAACATACATACAGTAATAAAACAGCTGCAACAATATTAGCTGACAATAGCAACAGCAGCAGCATTTCAACACAACAAACATATATTATGCATAATAGTAGTAAAAATAGTAATAGAAATGATAGCTCTATATTTAGTAGTAGTGAAAATGAAATTGTACAAAGAGATATTGCAACAATATCAGCACCAGAAACATTAGCGGGAACAGCAGCCACAATAACAACAATTACAAATAAGTACCTTAACCCACCGATTTCATTTACGAAACGTAAATTGCGACGCAAATATCCTTCAAATATGAATTATTTAAATCAAACGGCATCTAAAGAGTTGCCAACACGTTACAAAGGTAAACGGCGCAGACTGATGCGACCATTTCAAAACGTAACGCATGCTACACGTACAACACTGCCAATTCTGCCAATTCTGCCAGCAACTGCTACTACTCTAAGTGGAATTACTACGACGAGAACAGCGACTGCTGTATCTGCAATTGTGCAACAGCAACAGCAACACCAACAGCAGCCTCAACAACAGCAGCAACAAATACAAATACCAAAGAATGTACAAACTAATATTATTGTACAACAACAACAGCAGCAACTACAACAACAGCAGCAGCAACAACAAATATCCATTAATGCGCGTACTCCACTGTTTCGACAACCGCAGCCATACCAGAACCAATATCCGCATCCGCAACAGCAGCAACAGCAACAGAATACATATCAAATACAAAAACAACAACTACCACAACAGCAACAGCAACAACATCGACAACAATATATTGAACCAACAACTACTTTACGTGTAAGCACTTCAATTGATCACCATCACGCTGCTGGTATAACATCCATCAAGCAACATCTACAACATCAACAACATCAACAAAATTTCATAACAAATACAAGTATACAACATCAACAAGCAATACCTATAGTACAACAACAGCTACAGCAACATCCTCACCGTCAGTCGCAACTAAACAATAACTATCATCGCCAACAGCAACAACAGCACAGCATATTTGATACAACAACAATACAAAATCACCAGGATCATTTATTAATACAAGGCAACACTGATATTGTTGTTTATCGAAATATTGGTGCAATACCATGCCCACCGGGTCTAGTACCACATCATTTTGTACCATATCATAAACAACAACAACAACAGCGTCCACGAACAAGGGGTAAGATCTTTCATATATAAATCACATATAACTATATGCCTTGCTAATGCTATGGAGTTAAGAATGAATGTAATTAATTTTAATTCAAGTAATTAATAACAAACTAATTATTAATCACTTTTAAATTAATTTAAATTAAAATTAATTACAATTTAAACTGGAACATAGGTGATGGATTGAGCAATTAATTCCGATCTTTGTATCTTTCAGATACAACATATTGAGAAGATTTCACTACTTCTTATTTTAACTAAATGATCAAACGATTTTGTATTAACTATATATAAAAGATCTAAAAAATATTTATTAAAAGATCTCGCTTATGTGTATTTAATTAATATATTAGTTTAATTAATAACTTCTATTGATAAAACAATATTCTTTATTGACCATATTAAGAGACTAAGGCCTCAATATTTTACTCTTTGTTCACCAATATTATTTTCATTTTTAATCAATTTATGCATTGAAACTTTAATTTGGAATGATTATAAAATTCGATCACCTCATGAAGAGCTCCGTCAATTTCTCGAAGATAAATGATAAAGTAAATGTTCAATAGTTTTCTTTATATACTTATAGATACAACTTCTATAAAATTTTTTTACACGGAGGCACTCGTTATACCTTTAAACAATGTAGCAACAGTTGTTCTCTGGAATAACTATCTCTATAGTTATTTGAGACAGAATTCTATCTTTAATATCCTAGCGACCATAGGTTCATAAGCTTTATAATTATTCAGGCTAATAGCTTGCTCTGAACCCAAATTAAATATTTGTTGTATGCTTTACTTATCTGTTTGACAGATGATCTGCAAATCGTTAAGACCGGCATCGAGACATCCAAGACATTATAGATATTACTGACAATATTGGTTTACACCTTTGAATTTTAACTGTCACATGTATTGTACTTAATAGTCAGCTTAAAAAATATTTCAACAGATTTGGTGGTTTGTAGCTAAAATTTAGGTGTTTATAAAAATATAACGCCCCATATATACTTCTCTGTCTTAAGCAGTCTTTGGATGAATGGATTCGGCGCTATATAATAAGATAAATTTGTACAGGAAATGTTAGAGTCTTATATTGAAAGTTCTAAATCGTTCTAAATATTGGTAGATATAAAGTCGATTTTCTTTTTTAAGGAATTTTAGCTTTTACTTCAATTGTATATGCCAAAATACATATGGATATATACAAAAAAACCGATCGAAATAAAATTTAAAATTCCTTAAATAACAAAACCGACTTCAGAATATTTTGAACGTAACGTAACTTAAAAACAACATTAGTAGATATGTGAATGAGAATCAATATTCTGGAACGTAAAGATAGTTAGAAATTGTATAATATAGTTTTGATGACATACCATAGTTCCCTTGATTATCGGTATATGAATGGCAGTAAAATGTTTAGACCAAATATTGTTGATCTTTATGTCCTAGATTTGTTTCATATTTCTATGAATACATTCGATGTTAGTTGATAGTACAAAGTTCTAACATTGCAATATCTGGCTGGGTTGATGTTTACAATATTTGTAAGTAGATACGTTAGAGAGCACCTGCTTGTAAAAACACTTCAGTCATACTACCATCTGTTACTAAGGTTTATTCTGACGACATAGTTCTAATATCGATAAGGAAAAATTTATCTATATTCATTACAATTCTTTTCAGTGATTAAATATTCTAAATTAAATGTTGAAGTGTCTGTCTAGAATTCAATACCGATGGCTTAGTTTTTTATTCAAAAATACTAAAAAATAAGTCATTGCTTTAAGTAGACTTTAAAAAAGTCAACAATCACTAGATCTTTGAAGTAACCTAATATACATTCAAATAAAACAAAAAAAAAAAATCTATAATAATAATCTGTCATTTATCACTAAAAGGTTAATATGTCACTCATGCTACAACTATCGCTAGCACAGCTTTTCATACTACGAGTAAAGCACATTATCCCAGTGCATGCGCCAGATTCTTACTCCAGAGTTTAGTCCCAACTGAAACGAGTTCCAGAGCAGCATAATTAATTATTTCTTGATAATACAAATGCATAACAAATTTTCACATTCATTTCGGTACATTTTAATTGCACTTCATAAATCAATTTTAAACAGCAGGAAATTGCCTTTAATTCATTTTAAGCTCAAGTGTATATTCGGCATGAACTGAGCACATACGGAAAAATTATCAGAAAAATATTTATAATTAATTTTTGTAAATGTCACAGCATTCAATTTTAATAAAGTGGTCGAAAGTGGCAATAAATAAAAAATTATAGTGAATTTATCACTAATATTAGTAACAAATGTGTAGTCATTAAAAATAAGTAATATTCCTTTTCTAGAGCGCAATTAACATATGCTACATAATTTAAAGAAATGTAAAATTTTTAATTTTAGAAGATAGTCTTGTTAAATTGCAGCAAAAAATCAACACAAATATTAAATTTAGAAAATTTTTGATCTAATGTATTCTCTCAATGAAGTACCTGAGATGGGTAAATAAAACCGAACATGATAATTATCGAAACCTTGCCTTCTTTTAAAATACGTATTGAGAGTGCTTTCCTGTGTGATCTTCAAATCCATCCATGAACTTTGTTTTATAAGTACTATAAACTGGATATGGGTACCCCGGTAATCTAGCAGCACGAGGAAGTCTCATGAGGCCACATTTCTGGAATATGCCAATATCAAATACAAATATACGATTGCATTTGTTGCATTTTTAGCCTCAAGTTGAATCACTGCTGTCGTTTTATGCAATGAAGAATAACACTTCTGTTAACACATCTGTTAAGTACGTTGTTCAAACAATTGAGTTAATTGTACTTAAATTAAACTACTACTGTCACTCTGACTTTAATGCGATATTTTTTTCAGGTCTCTTTATCTTTGAAATAAGTTCTGATGCACCAAACCATGATTATCGAGGAAAAGTATAAATCTCACTTTTACTTTTAAACGAAAGTTAAATCAATTTCATATTTGAGATTTGCTTCTTAATTTTAGCTTACCTTATATCTAACTTGTAGTAGTTTATTCGTATGCATATCCAGTTTATAAAATCATATCTCAATATCAAAATGAGCACACTTTAAAAAAGTATCGGCTTTGTGCATAATTTGGCTCTTTTGAAAGATGATATCTCAAATTAGATACCTCATACCTTAAATTTAATTTATTCCCCAAACTTAAACGAACAAAGTCAAATTTATTGAGCGATGTTAAACTTAAGAGCGAGGGCACTATTATTTATATTTTGAGCAAAATATTCTCCTTTACGATTATTAAACTTTTGCATGCGTTCGAACCATTTGTCAAAGCCTTCTTTCAAATCTTCTTAAGACACCTCCAAAACGTTTGTTGTTTTTAAATCCAACAACGGCTTCTGTTTCTTCTGCCGTTGTCCACGCAAATCGTTGCCCACGCAATATATTATTGACGTTCGGGAACAGGAAGGTCATCAGAAGTGTCAGTCCCACCAATTGGATTTTTTGATTGTTGAAATAGTCGGTTGAACGAGACTGGTAGACTGCTAGACGAGATGTGTGAATACTCACATTGTCTTGATGGAGATGGAGAATGTTTCGATGGCGCTTGTTTGTTTTTTCGTATACGTTTCATACTCGTATACGTCTTTTGAAGCACCGCTTCGCTATTGTACTTCTGTAACATTTGTGTGCACAGTACACCAATCGATACGATCATCTTTTTGAGATTTTGTCATATGATGGGGGATGGAATCCAACGATCTATCGAGAACAAACCTTTCACAATTATATACTCGTATGCTGGTGGATCTAATGGCTAGGGTTCCACCTCAACCTCAATCTCACAGTACGGATATGTTGCATGACAATCTTGCATTCCTCAAGATCAGTTTTTGCACAGCATCAATGTTTTCTATCACAACAACTGATTTTGTACGAGTCAGTTCTTCACGAATTTCGTCAGTGAGTCAAAGATGGAGTTTCATCACCAAATGTGGAAGTAAGTTAATCGATGTACTCTTGTCTTGGTACTCGTAATCCAAGTCAAAAGTCGTAATAAATCATTGTACGAAAATTTTCTCGCATAAATTCCACTTTTTCGCAAACACTCACTTTACAAATCAATGTAAATATCACAAATAATGCTCTTTTGACAAAAAGCTTAAGGTGAATTATGTTTAATAATGTCAAATTTTCATATGAAAACGTCAGATCGAACCTGAAAACAATCAGTGTTGCCAAGACTCAAAATATAAGTTGTTTCTTTTTAACCCAAAACGCAGGATGTAGCACTGAAGTTCAATCCGGGACTTTAAAAATCCTGCTAAAACGTTTAAACTCCAGTTTCAAGTAGCAACTAAAACACATGCAGCGCTGCCAGAGTAACGAAAAGAAAATATTGAAAGAATAAAATAAATATTAATTATATAAATTATATTGTATTATTTGATAATATATTATTTTACTAAATTTAAATATATATTTAATATAATTCAGAAAATAATTCGTATAAAATATCTCGTGTGTTTACTCGAAAAAATATTCTTGTATTCTAAAATTTCTTCTTTCAACTTTCACTTTCAAGTAATTATACTTTCAAGTTCTTACTATTATTTATTCCGCACTTATCGTTATATATGTTAAGTAATACAATGTTATTAGATTTTACTAAATTAGTAAGATTTGAGATATGATTTTTGGAAACATAGTGCTTATATTTTATAACCATAATTTGTGTAAAATTTTGAAAAATATTTGTATGAAATTGTATATCTCTGGGAAATAACTATTGAAATTTGAAGGATTATTGTCAAATTTAAAAAAATAAATATACACATTCCATAAATGTCATTAATAGTTTTCACTAATAGTTTCCAATCTAAACGCTGCCCGCTTTGTTATGTGCCAATAATAAAAGCAAAATCAGACAAATTATTGAAATGTGGCACATATATCCGTAAATGTAATTATTTATTCATATGTGCATATGTTCATATATTGTACATAGGTAAGCT